TAGACTCATCCAGCACCAGAGAATACCACAAGAAGTTCCTAGCTTTCTAGCGTATTTGTAATACCATGTTCTCTCCAAGTTCTTCTTCAACTGAACTTACTGAAAGGCTGATACTTCCGAACAAATCGGCTTTCTCAGGACACAAGTCATTTGCTGCTTCCATCATACACTATTTGATGAAGTTGTCGTCAGTAAACGGTTTTCCTCGCTCTGCCATCTTATGCACTATTTTGTAACTTGTATGAGTGACAGATTCATTTTCGGCAAACATTCTCGAGAAGAGATTCCTTTGAGATTCCAAAGTACATTTCATGAACTCAAATTTCTCAGAACGCAACTTTTCAGAAAACTTCGAATACGTTGACAGATTTTTTGTTTCATAGTGATGCCGAAGTCGGCAACACTTTCGTTGCATATCATGCAACTAGCTTTCTGGTTGTTTGTTTCCACAAAGAAGTACTTTTCTACCCATTCTTCATTGAAAAGGTGACACTCAGCATCTACTTTTCTTTTCTTTTCTTAGTAGCCATAACAATGGGTGAAGAAAACAGGATCTGAAAATGAAAAACAATTATTTATTTACACATTGAATAGTCTATCAAAAAAGTTTTAGAAAAATAATAATTTTTCAAAATTTTTTTGACATGTATATAAACATGACAAACTGAATGTAAATAGTTCGTGACATTAAATTACGTTATTACGTTATTGGTTTAAAAGTTTTTTCCCGATAAGTTATTTGATTAAGCAATTTTTATAATTTGCCAATGTATTTAAAATTTATTATGTAAGTTAATTAGAAGAGCTTCATAAAAAATAATTAAGATCATATTTAATAAAAATATTAAGAATCTTAATAGGCAAATATAGTATTAAGAATTTGATACTAATTTAATTAAAATCTTCGTTAATTTAATTAAGTCATTTTTTGAGTGTATAGCGTTTAAAATATAGGGCTTAAATAAATATCAAAGTTTGAAAATATTAGATGCTTACCTCTTGTGAGCTCTTTCAACACTCAAATATGCAAAATATATGAGATAATTCACTGAAGTCAGTCCCTTTTATATACGGCACTCTTCAAACCGGTTTAAACACGGCAATACAAGTTAAAACACGATCGCTGCAGCAGGCTCATAATTGCTTTTCTTGGAAACCATATTGCAGGTACTTAAACAAAAAGTGCTCTGATATCCAAAGTCGCAAAAAGTCGCCTGTTCGTGTTTAATCCGTGAATTGAACCAGTGTTCCAGATTTAAATATAAATATATAAACACATATGTACAACACACAAATATATGTAGAAGCACACACAATACATGCACACCTCTTCTCTGTCACAAAGTTGTGTAACCACGCGTACACTCGTCACACTACTTGTATCAACTGCCTGTAAGCATTTTATCGTCTTACAACAATGCACGCAGAGGTGACTACGGGAATGAACTCTCACTGCAGGTACTTACACAAAAAGCGCTCCGATATCCAAAGTCACAAAAAGTCGCCGAATTGTTTATTTCACTGATTTTCCTAAAACTTATATTACTGTCAGATGCAAAAATCAGATTGGACAAATTTGGTCATTTTTACTTACACTTATTTTAATTTTTTTTACATAGTAAGTTTATCTACGATCTATGATATTTCCATATAAATAATTATTTTTCAGCTCATTTGTGGCACAGTGCAGTGGTGGGCTGGATGAACTGACCCTCGCAGACCGGATCCGACCTGTGGGCTGTAGTTTGGTGACCCCTGGACTAGAGGGAAGGTAAACGGCCTCAAATTGTGAACAGTGATTTTACGGTAAAGGGATATGAACCATAGACCCTCGGATTCACAGTCCGGTACACTAATCATATGACTACGTCCAGTTATTCCTTCAACAGAAAAATTCTCTTCATTTCCATCTAGCGTCACTAGGAGTCTACCAGAGTTGTATACTATCCACTTCCAAAGCTTTAATCACAGTCAGCAGTATCGACCAATCAGAACCCAGCAAACATAAGGAGAAGTTATGAAGTCCAATCAGAACCCAGCAAACATAAGGAGAAGCTATGAAGTTTATCAGTCGTCTATTATATTTAGGATAATTTCTAAAATAATCATTATAACAACCAGTCATTGGTTTATTATAAAATTAGCTATTTCCTGATAGTTGTTGTATTATCTTCCTTTATAACACTGTGCTGTAAAAATCATTAGAAATTTCTCTTACGTAGATAGCTGCACATGCTAAGTTAGTTTTGGTTTTGTTATGTAATTATTACCGTCTTTAGCTTCAGTTAAAACAACACTCTCTATATAGCTCTGCAACAAGTTTCCAATGAGAGTTTATTATTGCTACGATTGGCTACTTTTCTAGTTTTCGAACCCCTATATATTATCAAGATTTATTTGTACCCATGATTTAATTATTTCAAACTTATATAATTTTGGTTCGTTATTTTACCCATGTAATAATAAGATTTAAATGTGGGAAAACATACAATAATAGTAAATATGAACAATGATTTATTTATGTTACAACTGGAACAAAGACCTACTTTCCTCTTAGTTAAATAACAATTCTAAAATTAAGACTCAACGTAGAAATAAAAAAAGTATTTATTGGAAAAATACAACAAGTACATTCCTGAAATAATTTCCTTTGGGATATTTGTAGCCAGTGTAAAAACAGTCCTACCGTTGCATGACGTAGCATCATGTTGACCAATTAGACTCTCCACTGACTGGAAACTGTGTCAGTCACATGTGCAGGGAGGATTCTGTTTTACTTATACCTCGGGATAAAAAGTTTCCAGGTTACTGAGCGCAAGATTTTGTTTTGATTAACATTTCTTAAACGAGTTGAGACTCAATAGAACGACTTGCCAGAAGTGTGAAACTTTACAGTGTTATCTCAGTTTTAGAAGCTGTTAATGCACCATTTCTTCTGGTTGTTTGTTTAACCAAAAAATGTCAGTGATATCCGTTTAGAGAGAGAGATTCAAGAGTAATTTGTCTCCTGCCAGCCCTTCCCGAGGTACACATTTCATAGTTGAACAATGCCAAAAGAGTTAGATAAGCCTCCCCTGGTGTTAGTTACAGGAGCTTCGGGGTATCTGGCTTCTCATGTGGTTCGTTTGTTACTGCAAGAAGGATACCAAGTTAGGGGAACAGTGAGAGACCTGTCCAATGAACACAAGGTTAAACCACTTAAAGAACTGTGTCCAAATTCTCGGTTTCCTGTACAACTGGTCGAGGCTGATCTTCTCAAGAAGGAAGGGTGGGACAACGCTTTAAAGAACTGTGAGTATATTATGCATGTTGCTTCCCCATTCCCCAATAAGCCCCCGTCACAGGAAGAGGATCTGCTGAAGCCAGCTGTAGATGGAACTTTATTGGTCCTCGCGGCCTGTGCTCGAGCTGGAAGTGTTAGGCGAGTGGTCATCACTAGTTCTATCGCTGCCGTCCACGGGGAAACAGTGGTAGCCAATGACCGAGTGTACGGACCAAAAGACTGGACCAATATAAATTCTCCCTTTACAGACGCTTATGCTAAGAGTAAGACTTTAGCGGAGAAATGTGCTTGGGATTTCATAAAGAACCTTCCCGAAGAGCAAAGATTCGAACTAGTTTCCATCAACCCAGGAGTTATACTAGGACCAATGTTGACAAATGTCGTGGGTACTAGTGTCTTTCCGCTAAAAAGGATGATGAACAAGACAATGCCTTTGGTTCCAGCTGTTAACTTCTACTTATGCGATGTTCGAGATGTGGCCCTTGCTCATTTGAAAGCTATCACAGTACCAGAAGCTGCAGGAAAAAGGTTCATCGTTGGAAGTGAATCCCTTTGGTTCCAGGAAATGTCCCTCATTCTTTTCGAAGAGTTTGTAAACCAAGGATACTGGGTGTTTCATCGCCACTGTCCTTATTGGCTGGTTTGGTTGACAAGCTTCGTGGATTCAAGTGCTGTTCTGATATTACCCAGAATTGAAAATGTTTACCAATTTGACAACAACCTGATGATTAAGATCCTTAAGTTAACTCCTAGAACCCCCCAAAAGACGATTATTGATACAGCTTATAGTCTGATAGAAAGAGGGATTATTCCCAGAACTAAATGGTACACAGGACCAAAAGAACGAGATAACTGGTGAACATTGGAGTGATTGACGTATTCGGAGATATCCGAAAAAGAAAATTACGTTTGTTGTGAAGTTTTAAAATGCTGTATAGAAATGTTATTAGAAATGAAACATACCGTATGTTACTTGTTATTATTATAATATTCAATAATGAATTGAGTAACGTAAAGTTAGGTGTTTTTTGTCTTTTTTATTTTATCACAAATAAATTAAAGTAAGTTTTATATGTGCGTTGAGTAGTTCTTTAAAAACATTTGGTTTAACAAAAACACATTTTCTCAGTGACTGCTAAATGCAACTCACGCAAATCTAACCCACGTGTATTTTGCCTTGGGCCAACCAAATGTCTCTTCCCCCCCTTCCCTTTTAAATACCCAAATATAACAAGTATGTAGGACCCTCTACTTGACAAGTTTCGTTTGTTAATTTTAGCGCAAGGCTACACAATGGGCTATCTACAACGTGTCCGTCTGTTTTACAGTTTGTCTTTTACACATACCTGTTCCGAATTTCTGTGACAGGAGTTGTCTAAGCAAGATTCCATCAGTAAATGCATGATAAAAAGAGCTATGAAAAATAAGTTAATTGGTAGATCATGTCCAAGATTTGTCTTTACAAGAGCGACTGATGAAAAGAGACTAAGCTGGCATCCAAATCTTTTTTGAACATGCGCAGATCACCCAATTCATAATTAAAACAAATATATATAAAGAGGTGCCATTTTTTTTTTACGCATAAATGTTAATTTATTTTTCTTTGATGATTATTTGATGTGAAAACTATTATTAATATATATATACTGTGTCCACCGCAGGGAGTCGAACCCCGGATTTTAGCGTTGTAAGTTCATAAATTGTAAAAATAAATGATTAGTCTTATGAGAAATCTTAACACATAAAGCAGTTTAAAAGGATTTGTTGATTAAACTTTGTTGAAACGAATTTACAGCTAGATAAACGATAAGGTGTTATGGTAAAAAGTTTTCTATAAACAAAGTTCAAAACACAGATGGAAACTTCTAAGAACTCATGAGTGAAAGCAAAGAAGAGTATAGAATAAATATGCCGACGAGACCCATTGCTCAATACCAAATCTCATCAAGCTGGCTGGGATATGACAGACATAGTACTGGTTTTTTTGTTTTGTTTGAAGTTAAGCACAAAGCTACACAATGGGCTATCTGTGCTCTACCCACCTCGAGTATCGAAACCCGGTTTCTAGCGTTGTAAGTCCGCAGACATGCGGCTGTGTCACTAGGGGGCCATAGTACTGGTCTAGGCGCTATACATATATATATTATCTATTTTCATGAACAACATTTTTTGGGATGTGAATCGGATTAAGTAAGTGAATTATAATTATTATTAATTTTATTTAAGATATTTTCAAGTCACATTTGAGGTAATAATTAATGACATAACTTTATTTATTCTTTATAATTTTATTTAAAAGTGAATACTTTTTATCTATTATTATTTTTTTTCAATTAACTTTACTCTAATTCACAAAAACTGGCGAACCAGCAAGCAAGTTTGCTCGTTTCATCCAAGACAGGATTACACAGCAAAACACAATTCAAAGTACAACGAACTTTACTGATATTCCTAGTCATACCCGGGTGTTTTTTTTTTGTTTCTTTTTTTTTTTGACACAGAAGCAAAGCTTAGCACAATTTTTATTGAAACAGACAGAGATCAAGAAGATAGGCTTTATCTGCTATGAATGGCCCGGCATTTCCAGGTGGTTAGGGGCGCTTGAATCCCCGTCCCACCAAACATGCTCGCCCTTTCAGCCGTGGGGGCGTTATAATGTGACGGTCAATCCCACTAATAGTTGGTAAAAGAGTAGCCTAAGAGTTGGCGATGGGTGGTGATGACTAGCTGCCTTTCTTCTAGTCTTACACTGCTAAATTAGGGACGGCTAGCGCAGATAGCTCTCGTGTAGCTTTAGCCACTAATAATAGAGGTATTGTCATCTCACCTTCTTGCACTTATCAAGGAGCCACTAATTATAGAGGTCTTGTCATCTCACCTTCTTGCACTTATCAAGGAGCCACTAATTATAGAGGTATTGTCGTCTCACCTTCTTGCACTTATCAAGGAGCCACTAATTATAGAGGTATTGTCGTCTCACTTTCTTGCACTTATCAAGAAGCCACTAATAATAAAGGTCTTGCCATCTCACCTTCTTCCACTTACCAAGAAGCCACTAATAATAGAGGTCTTGTCCAAGAAGGTGAGATGACAAGACCTCTATTATTAGTGGCTTCTTGGTAAGTGGAAGAAGGTGAGATGACAAGACCTCTATTATTAGTGGCTTCTTGGTAAGTGGAAGAAGGTGAGACGACAAGACCTCTATTATTAGTGGCTTCTTGGTAAGTGGGTCTCACCTTCTTCCACTTACCAAGAAGCCACTAATAATAGAGGTCTTGTCGTCTCACCTTCTTGCACTTACCAAGGAGCCACTAATAATAGAGGTCTTGTCATCTCACCTTATTGCACTTACCAAGAAGCCACTAATATTGGCATCTTACAGAAACAACTGCGTTCATTGTTTGGAAGTTCCGTAACAATGAACAGACACTTTAAACGTTGTTTCAACCTGGAACAAAGACAGTTATGAAATATCACAAATTAAACTCTTTACCCAAACATTACCAAGATTTGTTTCAATAAAATGAATTAATTTGCATACATCTCTGAATATCAATGCAAATTTACAAACAACATGAAATAAAGAGACCGATCTATAGTTTGTACCAATAGTCTGGCTCCGTGGGGAAATGAAACATGGCATGCGCGTGCGTGTGCTTTAAATTGAGTTTGCTTTCAAGTTACTTGACGCAACAATTCACCGTTTTATTTGTAATCATTACGCGTTTATTCTTGTTCCTTGTAATAAATTGATTATAGACGTACGGTGATATTATTTCAGTTCCAACACCGAAAGTTCAAGTTACAATTTCAACATATAGATTTTTTCCTCTTTTAAAACGTATAAAAATCACAGGAAGAAATTTCCAGACCTTCTTCTTAAGCCTAACTGTTTATTTTGTTTTTTTTGAAGTTAAGCACAAAGTTACTCAATGGGCAATATGTGCTCTACACACCACGGGTATCGAAACCCGGATATTAGCGTTGTAAGTCAGCAAACATACCGCTGTGCTGGGGGGGGGGGTCTTAAGCCTTTCTAAAAATTCAAAGAATGATAACTAAAGTGCCAAGAAATGTATCAAATGTACCTGTTCACTCTTATATTACTATATTCTTAGAAAAATGGAGGGTTCACCTGTTTTAACCACTCGCACCAATATACAATATTGTGTTGTCTGTCAGTCAGTCAGTATACACTAAAATGACGTCACATAAGGGACGCTTAACGTTGTAATTTGCACTGCCGTAACGTCAGTTAAACGTACGCATGCCACGAGAACAATTATACACTCTGTAGGCTACACCACAGCATGACATACGAACTTCGAAAGAAATAAAAATATTTGTTACTCTTGGTTTTGGTTTTGTTTACTCTTGAAACAGAACACTTTCGGGGACCCTGCGCAAGTGTATATAATTTGATATTGTTGTTACACTGTGCGTTATTTAATGTTATTATTCACATTGTATATTAATTGATATTGTTGTTACATACTATAAGTTATTTAATATTATTTGTACAATTGATATTGTTGTTACACTGTGCGTTATTTAACGTTATTATTCACATTGTATATTATTTGATATTGTTGTTACATACTATAATTATTTAATATTATTTGTACAATTGATATTGTTATTGCACACGGTATACTAATTAATGTTACTGCTATTTTAATGAATATACAAGAAATAATAATTTCGAAGAAATATCTCGTGGTTGAATACTTTCATAACGATTTAAGGTGCTAATTTAGTAAAAGGTAGATGTTATAAGATTTATTCTTAATTTATGTAAAGTGCGACATACCTTCTATGTTATAAGTATATTATTCTCATCCTGCCAAAAATAAAATAAATAAAAACAGGCCAAGAAATTGAAGTCATTGTTATAGAATTTCTTAAGACTCTGGAACTAAACCAGGTCGAACTAGTGCAGGTATGGATTGTATTGTTGATGTAAGCCTAACGTAACGTATCGTATTACAAGATCAGGTGCATTGTCGTGTACAAAGAACAGTTTTTTAGCTCGTTTTACTTCTAATATCACATAATTAGCTACTGGAACTTTCCACGTGACAAATAGTTTCATTGTTAAGTTGTAATTCTCGTGAAAAATTAAACATTTTTTTTTTCTCTTTGAACAAGGCCTTACATCGTCTAATGAGGGCGCTCGACTCGTAATCTGCGGATCGACATTCGTCACCGAACATGTTTGTCCATTCAGCGTTATAATATGACAGTCAATTCAACTAGTCGTTGATAAAAAGTAGTTAAAGAGTTCTTCCTAGCCGTATATCACTTCAAAATTTAGGACGGCTAGCGCATTAAATACGAAGTTTCGTAAAAAGTAGCATTAATAAGGAGTTTCTGTGATTTTAAGTTTGTAAGTGGATTTTATTTTATCGATCAGAAATATAAAGTTCGATTAACCTTTCGTGTAAAGTTGGGTAAGATGCGAGATAAAAATACATCAACATATCGCCTGTCGGAATGATTGCAAGAGCAGTTACTATGGTAACACATCTTTGTGTCGTCATACTTTTAAGTCGTCTTTTAACGATATGAAATCCTGGAAATACATACACCTGTAAGTGAAGTTAGAACGTAGTTTATCATTAAAGATTGACTATAAGTACCTTCAGACTCTTATCTTTTAAACAATATCGTGTTATTAATCTTTAGTATTTGTAAATTACTTTTATAAAATTGATAAAAAAGTACTCTTCAACAGTTTAAACCATTTGATAACATTAATAAAAGCTCAACCAATGATGTTTCTAGCGTAGCCTGTAGGCCAGATGAGCCTTGATATTGAACGAAAGGCCTAATCGGCAGTGGATATGGAGTGTGTTTGAC